GATCTGAGTAAGCCTACTTGTCGGATTGAAAACTAGTTAGAATCAAATCGACTTCGGTTAGGCATCTTGATGTCATTAGTGACAACTGTCAAATTTTCCGTTTCCATTCCGCTTCCGCCCACATTGCGTTTGGGCCTTTAATTCTTTGAAATACTCCTTAAAAATTTCCTATGAACTCGAATTTAAATTGTCTAAATATTATCCCTGGAATATCCTTAGAATACTCCTCGGAATTCCTTTTAAATTTTCCTCAAAATATGGTGGAACTATCCTCCCTTGGCATTTTCCTTGAAATATCCTTAAAATTTTCCTAAGAGTTCTTTTTGAATATCGCTGAAAAAATCTATTGGAAGAATTTTCAGAATTCCAGTTGAATTTCTCCTAAGAGTACACTTACAATTCTCTTCACATTTTTTTTTTTTTAGATTTCTCCTCCAAATTTGTTTGGCATTCAAGTCAGAACTTTCGTGGGATGCCTTTGAAGTTTGCCCGGAATTATTTTCAGCTTTAATTGTATTCCTTCTTTTGGCTATGTATTCTCCGAAAATTCTAAACATTCCCATCAGTATTATTTTTCTCCTAGAAGCTTCTTAAAATTATGCACAGAATTCCCATGGATTTCTCCTTTAAACTTATCATGAAATAATTCTCAGAATTCATCATAAAATTTTCGAAAATATCCTTAGGAATTAACTTCGCTAAAACCAATGAATTTTCGTCGAAGCTTCCTTTGAATCCTATTTAAAATTTCCTTGTAAATCTACTCAGAACTACCTTGCTAGAGACGATATTTTATCAGAGATGCGCGGAGAGAATAAAAGTAAATCTGTTTGAACGGCCAACTAAGTTTTTTTTTTTCTTTGATTTGTTTTCTGTCGATTTTGTTTTACGTACTGAGTACCAATGCTACCGACGTCAGGAAAGCAGCTCCCACACCGGGACCCTACCTATCGACCCATCAACTTCATGGACCGGGGACCAGCGGCTTGATCAGAGAATTGATGACTCAGAAAATCCCGACGACACCGACTTTGATTGAACCCAGGCCCTTTGGTGTGAGTGGCAATCACGCTTATCCCTACACCACCGACGCCGCTGGCAAACTAAGTTATTTGGCCTGCTTGGTTTGGCAACCCGTAATTTTGTGTTTAGTTCGAGTGACTTTTGTTTTGAGTGACTGTCGTCTGCTTCAACGTCACAGTAAAACTAATACTTTTTTGACCTTCTGTAAGATTAAACCGAATAAAACGTTACAAAATTTCAGTTTCTTCCGGTTTCTCAAAGACAGTGTTGTCAGAGAAAACTGGCTTCAATTCTGTCGCCTTCCTACCGATCATAGCATGACGGAAAACTCTTGATTATGTAGCGTAAGTAATCTACCATATTGATAATTGAATCGTCCATTAGATGAAAGTCGACTTTAAACTGATTCATTATATTTCAGCTGCATTGCAATTAAGATTTAGATTTATACTTTGCATCGGCTAATGGAAATTTTTTAGCAACTCTGAGTGTAGTTTCTGAATATAAAATTTTTGCATATATGCACGAGGGATGAGAATGAAATGTATGAAGATGTATACGATTAAATTTCAACCTCAATCTCAATACTCCCTACGATTTTCCTCGTGAAGTCCCCGTGTTTATTTACATTGCTCGATTGGAACCACGTTTGACGGGTCGATTGGAAGGTTGAATCTGCAACAACACACATGCATTTTCTGCCATGTTATTCACAGAATAAAAAATTGTAGAGGAGAATCGATCCACAATGATAGGCCCTTTTTCTCGAGCTATGCGAGACATCGCTTAATGTCATAAAAAACAGTAAGTATTTGTTTTATGCAAATCCAGTACACCATCAAGAGAGAAAAGCTTTCACTATCCGATAATGTTGTTGGTATGCGTAGAAGAGCTCCTATTCACGAGAAAATACCACAAGAAGCAGATGAGGCCTTTGCAATTGTTGATCTTGATTTATTTGAATCAAAAGTGTAATAGCGTTTTTTTTTGTTTGGTTCAGTTTGGAACTCGAACTGATTTCGGGCCAATTGGCTTTTCAATCATATTAAGGACCAAAACGAATACGAAAGTTGCTCGACTTTTTGGCCTTTGGATTTGACCTTCTTCAGTGGACGATACGATTGTATATCCCCATAAAATTACCAAGATCGCTTTTGGATTGCTAATAGGGTTAATGTCCCTAATGTCGGCCACAGTGTCTATAATGGGCCTATACATGAGTTTCAAAATGAAGAATTTTTTGCCAATGTTTCATCAGCAACCATCCATCCATTATCCATTTGTGTTGTCCAGATCACGTATTGTTCTAAGAGAAATTGAAGAACAGGAGATTTTTATCGATGGGCCCAAATTGTAGATCCTTAAACACCATTTTTTAACTGCTGGAAATCAGCAAAGTTTTGCTACATTTTACCGATCTGAGAATGCTGGAAAACCAGCAATTTCTTTGCTGAAAATTATGGGGTAAGTTTTGCTTAAATTTCAGAATTGTATCTTAAATTTCACAATGTATCAAATAGTTAGAGAAATAACTTAAAAGCTCTTTTATTCAGTTGTTATTAAAATCACTCTACCTTAAAACTATTAATTATCTCCAAGTTCTTCTTCATCTTCTCCATTAACGTCGAGTGTCTTTCTACCAGATTTATGTAGAATGAAAGGCAAACTGTTACAAGATAATATTTCCTTCAAAGTAGAACAATAGTAGCCTTCTTCAAACAAAAGTTAAAATTTTTCAACACAATGCTTTTTTGCATAATTTCACTTGTGGGCGGTCGTCCAACTAACTAGCTAAAATATTTTTGACAGTTCATTTTTTTTTTTTTCCTTTGGTTTTGTTTTTTTCCGTCGATCTTGTTTTCCGTGCTGAGCACCAATGCTACCGACGCCAGGAAGGCAGCTCCCACACCTGGACCCTACCTATCGACCCATCAACTCATGAACCGGGGACCAACGGCTTTACTTCCCTTTCCGAAGGAAGGCGTGATCAGAGATGTTATGCCTCAGAACATCCCGGCGGCGCCGACTGGGATTGAACCCAGGCCTGCTGGGGTGAGAGGTAATCACGCTTATCACTACACCACCGGCACCGCTATGATTGATTTACAGAACAGTTTTATGGAGAGATTGAGAGCTGCTTTAAATTTATTTTAAAAACAAGGCAGTTTTTGTCATTCTAGACAGAGTATAATAAGTTTTTAAAACAGGAATAAGCTGAATTACTAACCAGGAATGTTTTACACTTTGAAATGCTGTAATTAAACTAAATGGATTGTTCATTGCCGTTATAAAACCATCATAAATCAGACTGGATGCCAAGTAGTTGCTGTAACAAACAGTTCAGTTTGGGAGATTACTACTAAAAATAAAAGTTAATATTTTCCACAGGCCATCATCCAGGCTCGTGTCTTTCAGCTCATTTTGACGTTACACGGGCTGGCGCTTTTGGTTTAATGTTCATGTAGAAGCTGAAACTTTCGGATAATGGTTTTCTCACCCAAAGGAACAAATGTGGAGGTTGGCCCGTGGAAAATTAGAACTTTTATTTTTGTGGGCCAGTCTAGTGAAGAGCGAGGAATTGGAGGTTAGAATTGGATTATGCACACTAAGTTTTGTTTCGGTAAAACTTTGACCTTCAATTTAAAGTCTATTGAATTTGAAAATAATATCAAAACATGTTCACCCTTGTTTAAATGATCAAATCTTGTCATTTTAGTGGAGATTTTGTTTCAAAGTAGCTGAAAAGCAATTGAATTGAAATGCATAAATTTTACCGAAAAGTTCAGCTGTTCAGATTTCGGTAAAAATTACCGAAGTCGGCGATAATTTCTAAGTGTGTGCTCTTGCTTATTTGATAGAAAATTCATGGGATCCTCAAACCATTTGCATTATTTTAAAGAACCATGATAAATGCTCATGGCTTGTGCTTAGTGATGCACCGAATAGTGTTATTCAGCCATTGGCGTTTATACCGAAATGCCATTTTTCCGGCAAAATACTGTGGTGGCTAGCCGTAAGTTTAAAAAATTTCGTAAAGTGTACCACATACCTACTACCAGCCCTGACATCGATGTGTGTGCCAACTTTAGAGTCAGTTCCCCTATCCGTTGAAAATATCGCTAGACCTGAACTTCAACTTCAATCGAGTAAGGAAACCCATTTTTCAACCACTAATTTACCAAAACAAACCTTCACAGAAGATTCGCCCCAAAACGTAAACAAACGCGCCCAGAGGCCCCAGCTGAGCAAACATCCAGCAGCCACGGGCTTCGCCGAGTGCTCTTATTGCCCTTCTCCACCTCGTTGTGTGCCACCAAAACTTCAAAATTCAGTTCAAAAGGGCTATCAACGCCAATTACCCGCGTTCGTCCGCGGTCGCAGAGCAGAAGATGGCCCTCAGCGAAGGTCGAAAGGTTGTTGGTTCCGAACGAACCAAAGAAAAAAGGAATCTTAAGAACTCGTGATCGATTTAGCATAATTCCCCGCTTTGACCGAAAACCAAGATCGCTCAAGAGGCACTCGCTGCTTTTTCGGGACGAAAGCACTTACCAAAAGCAAATACCTCCTAACCTCTAAGCTCGCGTCGCGATCGGTCAGTCGGTTCTTTGTTTGGATGCGCGCGCTGCTTGGGACGCATTGATGGATGGAATGACGGAAGTAGCCGTCATGTTTCGACGCATGAGACATTTTGGCGTGGTTCGTGTGGAAGGTTTCGTGTTTTGTGACGCGTGGTACCACTTGACAGACCGGTTCTGCCGGGTTCGATCGTTCCGATGAAAAAAAAGCGCTCTCTCATTGCTTCTAACCCTCTCAGTTCGTTCGGTAAGAGTGCTGTACTTGGACTGGTGTAGGAGGATTCCGATTAACTATACTATTACTTGTTTAAGTTTTGCGCGGGGAATTTGGTTTTTTTTAGAATTGGAAATTATGGTCAGCGTCGGTGCTACTGCTACAGGAGAATCTACTGATAGAATTACCGTTGTTGTTGTGGTGGTTGTGGCCGAAGCTATTCGGATTGTGATGATGGCTAAAGTGATGGGTGTTGTTGCTGTTGGCTCCGCAACCGTAGTAGTTCTTAAGTTTCACTTATGCCAACGGGTACTGATGTCACAAGCTGGTGGTTCCGGCCGATGCATGGTGGTAACCGAGACTCTGGTGGTAGTAGGAATCCTGTCCCAGGGCGGCTGCTGCTGCATGTGAGTTTTGTAGAGGGCTAAGGCCGTTGTAACCGGCATACTGGCTCATGTCGTACATCTTGATGTCTGCCTTGGACTCCGTCGGTAGCAACCGGGTGATGGAGAACGGGTGACTAGAGGGCGTGTAGCCGGGGGGTTCCTGCTTGAGGTGCATGGAGTGGTAATCGCTGAGCAGCGACGGATGGCATCGGTTTACCATGGCGGACAATTCCTCTTGCTGGAGCTGCTGGTGATGGGAACCGTGCTGGGTATGTGACTGCTGCGCTAGGCAGAGGTCGGCGGTAGCATGTAGCATGGCCAGGGCGTCGGTATCCTTACCGTGGGTGGCATTCAGCATTCCATGGGTATCGACGGTGACCTTGTGATCCCGGTGATGGTGATGATGGTCTTCGTGGGAGTCTTTCTTGTCCGGACTGGTCGCGTCCATACTGTGCGCCGGACTCTTGTGCATCGAACGAATAATTTCCTTCTTTTCGTCTTTGAAGCGCTTCTGCCGTCGAAGGTAGCAACCGTTTTCAAACATGTTGCCCGAGTCCGGGTGCAGCGTCCAGAAGGAACCTTTGCCGGGTTTGTCCGGCGTTCGGGGCACTTTGACGAAGCAATCGTTGAAGCTGAGCGAGTGTCGGATCGAATTTTGCCATCGCTGTTGATTCTGCCTGTAGAACGGAAACAGGTCCATAATAAATTGGTAGATTTCCGCCAGGGTTAGCATTTTGTGCGGGTTGTTCTGGATGGCCATTGTGATGAGGGAGATGTACGAGTACGGCGGTTTGGCGTGGGTGTAATTCCTCCGGTAGGTTGCCGCGGGTTTCTCAGTTCGGACTCGCTGTAGAGCGGCAGAGTTGGGGGAACCTGGATCACCGAGTACTTCACGACTACCGGGTACGCTGGAGTATCCGGTCATGGCAGCCATGGAGCTCATTCCGTTGCCACCCATGCAGGAACCCATGTTGGTGATGGGCGATCCCATCGAACTGTACCCAATTGGAGCGGTCGCTAGGCATTGGCTGGACATGGTGTTCATGGCGGCACCCATTCCGGACATTCCGGAACTACCGAGCACGCCAGCACCGAAGTTGCCACCCTGTGGCGACACCGAGGACATTCCTCCGACCGTCATGCCCATACTGTTCATACTGTAGGTTGACGTCATCGGACTCATATTCCCGCCGGCCATGCTGGTACTGTTGATCGATGTTTCCGGATAGAGTTTTTGCATTTTCACTTCACTGTATTATGGTCTTCGCTATGTTATCGATTTAATTTCCTTCAATTCGAACTTTGTCTTCCCGGCCCCGTAAGACCGTGCACATACAAATCAATCAAAATCACTTTTCAATACTACTTCTGATCAGCGGGACGTAGTAGCATAAGCACAGATCAATCATCTCCCGTTCTCAATCGCTCAGAGCGTGAGGTTCACATTCCTGAATGCAATCACCGAAATTGTTTATCACTCCGTTACCGGTTATCTTGACCAGGTTATGCTTTGTTTATTTGTTCACACTGTCGTTGGGGGGGTATTCCTTCGATTTCCTAACAGCGGGAAACTGCAACAACAACCGAGCACCCTCCTATTTAAAATTCAATAATAAACACAAACAATTCCAAACACACAAACATGCTTGTTCCCACACTCCGGCAGTTACCGCGCGCGCCACTACGGAGAACAACACTTCGGGGACACGGGAGTTTGGTAATATCTTGGACACTCGGCACGGACGGGAGGGGGTCACACTCCCAGTGTACACACCAAGAGTTTAATAGTCGATTCCTTTTCGAACACAAACTGTCACCCGACGTCGTCGTTGTCGTCGATACGATACGGCTGAGATGACGTTCGAGACCGAGTTTTGTGTGGACACAAAAACTTAACTACTTGTACCCGGTTCTCGAGGCCCCTGGACACTCTGGGAGCTGGAGCAAAAGTCCTTCTTCACAGTTCACAGGACCGCTGGCAAACAAACTCTGTACACAGAGACGCCGCACCGGGATTCCGGGGGGAGTTTCAACAGGTTTCGTCGTCGTCCTCTTGGTAGTCGTAGTCGTAGTCGTTACTCTCTAGAGGCTCAAGGCTTAAGCGTTTTTCGGGGCTGCCACTACACTAAACAACGGTGGCTCCTTCCCTTAGCTCGGTTCGATGTTGACTCGTTGCAACCCAAACACCAGTGTCGTTTTACTGATTGGAAAAGCAAATATGTGCGCTCCTCTCGGGCCACGCGAGATGGTAATATGGCATCCGGCACTGGGCCGATCTCTTCGATAGGTCTCTGAAGGACTCTCCGTCGTACGGCGCCGCCACCACTACCAAGGATACGTGCGTGCGTGTGCTGTGCGTGCGTGACGACACCAATTTTCGGCTATATGGTCCCTTTCGGCACTCGTTCTCTTCTCACTCAATGTCCGAAAATTTCACGAAAAACACTCCACAGCATTCCACCACTTGCCGCACATATGCTCTTCAAGTCCTCTTCTGCGGGGGACGAGCAGCTGCTTCACACGAAAGCTCACTTGTATTCCCGCCTCCCAATGGAGCCAATGTCACAGCTGCTGCACTCACTCACTCGGAGTCGAAATTTTCACACACGCGAAAAATCAAACCAACGAAAATACTCGATAATCCCGGTGGAAAATCCCGTCGTCGCAAGGAAAATCCCTAAACGGCGCACTCGAATTCCCGAGGAAAAAGCGTCAGCTCGCGCGCGCGAGTGCTTTATTATTATATTATGTTTATATATTATAATGTTGAACAAACTTTGTCTGCCTGCCTCTCCGGAATAACAAGATGTGACTGTTTGCAGAGGGGAATAACTACTATTTGGCTTTCAAACAATATTCGACTGAAGTGCCTAGCTAAACTTTAAACACACATCCTCTTCTTGCGTGACGGAGCACGGAACTGTAAGCGTATTGGTACCGACATTAACGACACATTATCCAATCTCATACCCTCGGTCGCTGTTTGCGAGACGGAACCAACGTAATCACTGCATCCCGCTCGCACCGACTCGCACCGACCAATCGCAACTGAAACGAACGGGAGAACGAGCCGCAAACAAAGAAACCCAAACTCACCACCGAAGCACGGGAAACTCACCACCCGTTCGCTGCCTGCACCAACACAGCGATCGCACAATGTTACGAGCCAATACACGCTCACTCTCCCAATGCAATCCAACCAAAAGGGGGTGGAGCCAACTGGGCCAGCTTTCCCAGCTGCTCTCGGGGCCCCATGCAAGGGCTTCAGCAGGACCTGGCGGATAGACAGGGACACCAATAGATCCGACGCATGCGCGTCCCATGGCCTCTCGCTCGTTCCGAAATCGATGTTCTCAAGGAACATGGATTCCCTATAGAGGACCCAAGGAGCCAGTGTCCCTTGCAGATCAATGTGCGGTGAGTGTTTTCGATAAAATTTGACATCCGAGTCCTACTCCCAACCCGAATCTGCCCACCTCCCAGCACACAGTGAAACTTTCCAATTCAGTCCGCACCATCCCAACGGACACAGCTGTCCGTCATCGATCCGGATCGACTGTGTCCGGCTTCAATGCGGACGCACGGATGACAGGCGCACTCCACCCTGTCTTCCTCCTTCGGATGCCTCAACAATCAACCAACCGCAAGAATCGATGTCACCACCACCAACCGACTGCCCTAGCCTACCCCCATCCGCCATTCCTGCCTGCGCTTCAGCAGCGCAGAGCAGATGACATACCTCTCGCTTCGCTCGATCCCTAATTGACATTTTATCGGAAAATGGGACCACCGAAACCGAAAAGACCGACACTCGCCACGCTGCTGTCTTTCACCCGGGGTGACACTCGGCTTTCGTGTAACTACTAAATCCGGATCTCCGTTCGAACCGTGTCCGTCATACATTGTGTGGAGGAAAAGAATTCGTCGTTTTCCCTGGAAGTAGCTGGCACCGCGCGATTAGATCATTAGACGACGCTTAGTAGTCCACCACCTCACAATTCAAACCGACTAACGGCTACCGACGACGTCGTGGTGGTGCACCAGCAGGTAATCAACCGGCGAGCGAGGATTATTCAATTAAGTGTGATTTAAGGTTTGTGCTAAGAATGTGGCGGTTGAAACGGCTTAACACTGTGCAGGCTAAGTTGAATGAATTACGGACGGTGCATGTTGGCGCAATGGATGCCTTTCGGTGGGACCGGAAACGGTGCTTTCGGTTGTGCAAGATTGGTTGTTCGTGAGAGCCGTTTCCGGCGTGTGGCGGTGAGGTGGAATTGTTGCGAGGAAGAGAACCTCAATTTTAAGGGATTATTTTTATAACGGAGTTTTCCTAAGCAGTGTTTTGGTGTTTTGATTGGAAGTTTGAGAGCTATTTCGCTTATGTGAAATCGAAATTGTGAGATTTTCAAGCACAAGAAGCAATAAATTCTCCTCATCTGGACATCAATCGAAAAGACTGTCTAGCTATGGGGATAAATTGCATGGGAAAGCCGATTGGAGTATTTTGGGTTTGCATTTTTAAATGAAGAAAATGTTGTAGGAACGTAGTTTTGCTAATCTGTTGCACTTATTAAGCACACATAACAATTAGAAAAATATATGATAATGATAAGCATTGATGAAATTTAGGCTGCTCGATGTTTGTGCACATAGACAACCAGATGTCGTATAACAATGTACTTACAGTATTGTAAATTTCAGTCAACATCAAATATACGAACGCTATACATCGCTTTATGTTAAATCGTATAGAATGCAAATTTCCGATTGTTATGCGATGAATCATTTTTCGATTGAAATATTATCCCAAATTAAATCGAATTACAACCTTTCAGGTTGAATGCATTATTACAGATTAAACCGTTCATGCACAGAAGAAAAACAAGAATTTTAAGCATTGCTTAACATGTCCCCTCATTAAATTTTAATCAAGAGTCGGCATAAACATCGATATTGCTAAAAAGCTTGTACGCAATACTGCTGGTTTATGCGTAATTGTGCTTAAATTTACATGAAATATCGTGTTCTAGCTTTCAAAACGAGTGCGCTAAATATTGCAGAAATTTGCATGAATTTTTTCAACGGTGTGATGTTAATGCAACTCGTTTTGAATTAAATTAAAATTTGCATGAATATGGGCTGTGCATTATTTATTGTGATTGAGAATATTTCACAAAAATCACATTAAATCACATCGGATTGCAGCAAGTGGAAGAAGCAAAACATATTATTGAACATTTTTTGTTTTTGTTTTCTTCTAAAATTTCAAAAGAAAGTCAAATGTTTCGAACAATTACCAAATGTTTACATTAATTACATTGAATTCGCAGTCCCAAACGCAAATGCTCACCCCAATTTGACATGGGACTTTGACATCCAGTTGCTTTTAAATTGGGTCATGGCCCAACCAGCGGAGGCCCAACTAAAAAGCAGCCAAAGTATTAAAAGCCCAACCGGCGGATTTCGACTGTTTACGATTTGTTTGTTTGTATACACGGCGAATAAGAACGACCACAATTTGAGTAAAGTTCACTCATATTCGCCAAAAGTGCAGGAACTCAGCGATGAGTAAATTTGTCTCATGGTTTTCTGTGGAAAACCTAAAAAATCTGCAGGAAAATGCGGAAATTGACGAAAATTTTATTCAGTCTCGGAGTAGTACCAATAGACTGAGTGAATTCAATCTTTAGTTTTCTCAAATTCGGGAATTTTTCCCTGGATATTTGAATCACTAGCATGCACAGGAATCTTGTTAAGGAGGGGCATTTTTTTTTTTCTATGATTCATTTAATCTGGGAATGGAGAGTAAGAAGTCCACTGGAATTATACTTAGAACTCTTCATGATTTTTTCTTAGAACATTTCTTAAGAGTTTCTGAAATTTTTCCCGGAATGAGCTAGAAATTATCCTCGGAATTCGCTTGGAATGTTGCTTGAAATCCCTTTGGAATTTTCTCGGTATTCTTTTCGAAATTATCTTGGAACTATGTGCAGGATGCAATAGAAGTTATCCGCAGAATTTTCTTTGAATTTTCCCCAGAAATATTTTGGAACTGACGTAAAAATTCAATATCCTTGAGGTTTTTTTCGGAATACTTTTGAACTTTTTTTCTCAGAACACCTTGGAACTGAAATTCTCATAAAATTTCTGAAGAATTTCCTCTGTATTCCCTTGAAATTTTCCTCAACATTCCCTTGGAATTTAATTCAAAATTTGATTCTCTCGGCATTCTTTTCAAAATTATTATGGAACTATCTGCAGTATTGAGCTTGAGCTTGAGCTTGAGCTTGATTGACCGCCCACGGTTGCTACTCTGTTATTGCCAGATCAGCTGTAATTACACAGAGAACCAATAGATAATGCTTGGGACTAGCAATCATCCTCAATGTGTAAAAACTGGTGATTCTAAATTAGGCAATACCAGCGCCGGCCGCGCCCGAACACAGGTCAAGAAAGGAAGAGGAAGGATTGTGTTGACATGACACTCGCTTTGATGGAAGCCGAGAACACCTCTGCACTTCCACGAGGAATCACTGAGATGTTCGGGGTTTGCAGCAGGGTTCGTTTTGGTAAAAGATAAGCTGAATTGATGTCCTAACGAACATATAACGCGAAGGAGCTTGGGACTAAACCCACGGTCTTCTGCTCAGTAAGCAAAAACGTTTGCCACTAGGCAGACGAGCGCCTTTTTAATCACCGAGTTGCTGTTATTACCATGTAGTCATATTAACAAATAAAACGATTGACGAATCTTGAATGTGGATGGGCCTGAGATTAGACTCATGATGTTCTGCTCAGTAAGCATAAACGGTTGCTCTAAGGCCACCGAGCCCCTCATATCACATAATACCGTTGCTCAAATTTTTGTATCCATTCAAACCCGGAACTAACGACAACAACGAGTTTCGCAAAATACACGATACACAAGCGATTTTACCATAAATCTCTTTGATATGTAAGGACCTGGGACCGCGTTTTCCTGCTCAGTAAGCAGGCCACTGTAACCGACGATATCTCAAATCCGAAAACTAAAAACTACGAAAAAGTACTTAGGCCTTCATTAAGTTCCACTTTCACGCGACGTTCAATGTTTCAATTTGCTCTTTACGTATTGTTCAGGCTATAAATAGGCCCTTTTCAAAAGTTACGCGAGAAATACGCACAATCGTCGCCTACCTCGCAAAACTGGTTCCAAACGACAACAAAGGCATAAGCAACGATGGATTGTTGAACTTTGCTGGCTGCGAGTGCGAGTACGAGTTAAGCGAGTTATAACGACCTTCTTCTACTAGCAGGTCTGTTTCTGTTTGCACAGACAGTCCCACTAGTTTCCGATACATTTATAGGGGATAGTAGGAGATTAAAAGAATAAAGAAGAGTTATAGAGGTTTTTTTGTAGTTGTTTTGCTGAAAAGAGAGAAACAGAACTAAACGAAATTACACCTGCTGAAAAAAGATAAGTCTATTATTTTGGTTAGTGATCGTTTGGATTTGGGTCACCCACGTTGTGTTTAGGTTAGTATAAATAAATAATACTATATAGTCATATAAATCACCACAGGTCATTATCTTCAGCGTTATCAGCGTTTCTGGATCTTTAGTTGCCTCTGTGATATACTTACTTGCGGCATACTATTTTGGGAGTGTATATGAGCGTGTACCATGTACGGTAGCTCATCTCTCATCGTAATGGTGGGACATAGTAGACAAATTAGAGAGAAAACAAGGAGGTATTAGTATTAGTTATATGTAAACAAAAAAAAACAAAAGAAGAGAAGAGGAAAGAAGAGCAGAAAAATAAAAAGGGGATAAAGAAAAGAAACGTAGGAAGATTATTAGAAAAGGCATTATCCGAGACTCAGCAATCAAATGTCACTCCCGCCGAGATCTCAGCGAAACCCCCTTCCCGCTGAGACCCGCTCAGCCGAGCTCGGTAGAAAAAACTAAGTGTGTAGATAGATTAGTAGGAAAATAAATAAAACTACTTTATGACTCAAAGTGCAATGAATGAGCGTTAGTTTCGGGATCATTTCAGTGTTAGAGTTATGTTAGTTTTGATCCGTAATCAGCCCTGC